GGGTTGTTAACCAATTTCATAAAACAATATGTGTACTACTGTTTCATGAGAAACTATTTGTTCTGTAAGGCTTCACCTGAAGTACAATAAAAAAAAAAAAATACTGTAAAAAAAAAAAGATAGTAAAAGCACATTATAGGTCTTTTATAATTTTATGGTTTGATCTAATAGAATAGTCAATTTATACCGACTCTGTTTGTAGGTGATGATGTTGTTTGTTTGCTTGTTTTGCTAGGTTAAGCCTTTCCATTCCCGTTTCTCCTATTCATCCCCCCATAAAAACAATTTTTTTTATTGGTATGTCCCTTAAGAAAGTGCTAATAAACAAATAATTCATATTACCAGAGTTGATTTCTATTTTTGGTCTGTCTTTATAAATGAGAGAGCAGTGAGTTATAAATGAAAACTCCCCAATGCAAGGTTAGTTTCTTTTGTTGGTTTGTTTTGTTATTTTTTTGAAACAATTAAGACTAGTCAATCACAGAGTTGGTGTTTACCCTAGTTCAAAAGCAATAAAAAAATTCTACACTAAAAATTTATATCGTATAATTTCAGACTTGTCAGTTTCTAGACTTTTCAGACACGTATCGCGTTAATTTTATCCGACATTTCGTGTTGGCTTGGTGCCTGGCATTGTAGCAGGAGCTAAGGGAAACACAAAACAAAGTCAGACACAAACACTGCCCTCCAGAAAGTTACAACCTAGGCAGGAAAGCAAATAAGAACCAATTTAATAATCGTGCAAGGTACTCTGTGGTTCAGTGTCCAAATGCATGTCACTGTCACTAAGTGCTACAGACAATTAGAAAAAAGTAAGTGCACAAAAGGCTGAAGTAGTCAGGGAAGAAATTCTGTAGAGAGATAGACACACAGATACATACATACATACATACATAGAAGATCAACAGATCGATAGATAAACAGCATAAGCAAATAACTTTTGTGTGCTTATTGTGTGCCAGCAGTTTTCAAAGACTATTGTTGTCGTCAGCTGCTGTTGAGTCTATTTCAACTCATGGCAACCTCGTGTGTGCAGAGTAGAATGGCTTCAAAGGGTTTCCAAGGCTGTGACCTTTCGGAAGCAGATCGCCAGGACTATATTCTAAGATACCCTTGGGTGGGTTTGAATGGCCAGCCTTTCAGTTGGTAGTCAAGCGCTTCACCATTTGTACCACCCAGTGACTTCACAGTTTTCAAAGAAGAACTCCTTTAAATCTCGTAACAACCCACTAGAACAGGTACTAATGTTTCTATTTTGCAGATGCAGAAATTGAGATTTAGCCATATCAACTAATTCAACTAGGTTTGTGTAGTTAGGAGTGGCAAAACTAGGAGTTGAACCCTAGGAGTCTTACCCACGTACGTGTGTACATAAGAGACAGGACTCAAGCTAGATACTCAAAGGGAGGGAGACCTTGGGGAGGGAGAAAAAAACGGTTAAGAGTGTTCCAGGAAGAGAGGGCCCAGGAACAGGAATGAGGAGACTCTTGGCTCCAGGTCTTTTTCATACCCTCTTCCTAATCTAAATCCAAGTTAGGTTATATGAATTTGTCCCCTGCAAGGATTCTGTATCATGATGGTAAAGCAAGTTTATGGCTTAATATCTCAAGGCTTCATCATAAAAAGCTTAGACAACAGGTACCAAAACTGGAAAAAAACCAAGTCATTAAAAACACACTTGAATGCTTTCTGAATGTTGTTCTCTTAGTGTAGCTAAAACTCGCAAAATACAGAACATGAGAAACTTCCATAATGTGTGTTTTTCTGCTTAATTTATGCCTGGTGGAATCACAGGATCACATTTTTTCCAGGAAAAATAAAAACCAATTTTGAGGCTATTATCTATTCCAGTGCATACTCTAAAGGTGTTCTTACCTCGCAGTTGCTGAGATCAAGAGAAACCCCCTTCAAGCTATGATTACAAGCCAGACCCAGTAACAGTGCTCTGAGGGGAAGAAACATACAGTGTTACATACAAAATTCCACACATTGCCAACAAAAAAAAAGCGAGCATACTGAATAAAGCTCCAAGAAAAAAGAATGCCTTTTCTGAATCACAGGTCAATCACAAGCACCATCTCACTTTTTAAAATGCCAACTGCATTTCTGCCTCCCCACAGCCGTGGAAAACTGACACGGCCGCATTCTTCTGACATGGCGCGGGCCCATCATAAATGCAAAACTCAACAGGACTGCTATTCCTATACAAATAACCCAACAGTACACTTAATTGCACACTGAGATTAAATTGTCTTCATCACAGATAAATTCCCACCTGCAGCTGATTGAGAATAGCTTTAATAATGTTTAGACTATTATTAGGCAATTGTTACTAGTGTAGCAAAGTAAAAGCTGGTTTCCCCTAAGGAATACGTTAGTGAGCAAGTCAGCCTCCACAGTACACCAGGATGTGAAATTATATCTAGATGAGTTTATTAAAGGACCTACAGAGGTGGGGTGGGAGAGGGTATGAAAAGCACTGGCGGTAAGGCACAAGTCTGGGTTTGAATCCAGGACCCTGGCTGTCCGACTACTGGATAGTCACTGGACAAACCACAGGCCTGCTCTGAAAAGGAATTTCCTCATTTGAAAATTGAGAAGAGTGGACTAATCACTCGGATCTCAGATTTCTCCTAGAGAATGAATTTATTCTTCTTTTACAAGCCAGTCTTATAAAATTCAACACCATTGAGCAGGCTTGAAACAAAAATTTCACACACGCACATGAATCCATCAAACTAGATGGAAGATAAAAGGCCCTAAACAAGGCCCTGTGAGGAATACAAAATGAGCATGAGAGAGCTCCTGAGCTCAAGCGAGGGAAACAAATACATCTGCAGATAACTATAACACAAGGTAGAAAGTAATAAGCACTATAAGAGTGGAACCAAAGCATTTGCTACATAGAGGTGACTATTCTCATTGTTCCCAGGAAAAGGAGCACTGCCCAGCATACTCCACAAATACCCCAGGGTATAAGTGAGGTGGGATGGTAGGGAATTACTGTAAAACCTGTGAAAGTTGGAACCTGTGTAAGGCAAAACCTGTCAGAGGGATAACTCAAATAGTTTCCACTAAAAAAGAGTGATAAAAAAGTGATAAGACTACAACCCTGTCAAAGGCAGAAAACTGGCAAAACCTGGAAAAACAAGGCAGTCCTGTTGAGTTCGGCTCTCACAGGTTTCACTGTATTTCATGTCATGTCTCTGAGATTTTCTCCTTCTGGTATTATCTGGCCTCACTCACTGAGGTAGAGCTCCAACAGGAGGCATGGTGATAGAGGTTATTCTGCTGCTTCCAGCCAGAAAAACAACCCGTCTGACAGCAGGCTGGAGGTGACTGCCTTGTGTTTCGTATCTCTAATCCAGCTCACTAATCCCTTATTCTAAAGCACTGTCTGCTGAGAAAGGCTGGGTTTGTCTCATCTGTGTACATTCATGGACAGAGGTTCAATTACTTTTTACATCGATTCTCATTTCCTAAAAAATTGCTTTTTTTCCTTTCTTTTCTTGGGGGCAGTGCTGTGCAGCTGGAAGAGCTTTGCACTGAGAACCAAGGGGTCGGGCCTGTTGTCCTGGCTGTCACTAACAGTTGGGTGACCTTCAGCAAATCACTCTTTCTCTCTGTGGCTCTTGTCTGTAAAATGAGGAAGTCAGGACGTAACCAAAGAGGTGCCTTCTAATATGTGCTGAGTTTTTAGAACTTAGCCACACATTCTACCATTATATTTTTATAATGCTTAGATGGAAAATGCTTTCTGCTTTTCTTACGTGTAGATGAAGGCCAAATAAACGACTGAGATGCTTTAGGATATTTAACTATAAAAAGTTAACGATTGAGAGGCAACAACTCAGGAGACCAGTAAAAATAAATAAGCCATAGAAACTGTCCTTAATAAAAATAAAACAGAACAACAACAACAACAAAGTATAGTGGACACTGGGGGAAAACTCTGTAGCAGGGTATGTTTAACCTGGAGATGGAAGAAACTGCCTTAATAATTATCCTCTTGATCCTCTATCATTACTGAAAAATTGGTTAAGAGAAGAATTTTTACTTAATTTCCCCAGCTCTGGATACGTGACTCCAGTTATAATTTTATGGTAGCACATTTAATAGGTTTATTAAAAATACTTCAGCCAGGGAGATGGGGTCGGGGAGAAGGGGTAAGATGTGTCAGGGAGGCAAGAAGGGCTCAGGGAACAGGAGAGTAGAGGAAAAGAAAGAGACAGAACAAGAATGGACAGAAATATAAACACACTGCACCCTGACTGGCGTTGGAGCAAAAAGCCAGCCTTGGGACACATGTGAACTACACCATTCAGGAAACACCAAGGAACAGCATCACTGTGTTCTCTAAATACTTTAATATGGACTGAAACAGCCTCAAAGGAAAAGTATAATTACGAAATAAGCAGATACATTCTTTATATTGCTTTCAAAGAATCCTACATTAAGTGGGAAAGTTCTGAAAAATATTGTTATGTCCCAATTTAGTGTTATTCTCATGGCTCTTGACCTCAAACCCCTCAAGGAACAAGGGTCTCCCTCTGGCCGTCTTGGTGCAGTGGAAGGCAGTGTGGGGTTAGGTACAGCCCTGAGCCAGGAGAGCTGGCTGACAGGGTGGACGCTGTAACACACATCTCAGAATCCCCTCCCTGAGGAGAAGTGTCTTACCTGAGGTCACGCCTTCTTCCAGGGCAGCTTGCATCCAAGGACTGATAACAAACAGGTATGAAAGCCCAGCCCCTCATCCCAATTTGGGACAACTCTAAAGGGTCATTCCAGCTCCAAAGCTCCCATAGGGTCAGCTGAGGTCATCACTGGGAAGGCAGCCCCGTTCAACTTCTCCCTCTGCAGAATCCTGCTTTCTTCCTCCCTCCACCTCCACATGTGGTAATCCCAAAAGCACTTCCTAATAAAAGTCCTCCATGCTAATCTCCATCTCAAAGCCACAGTCTCTGAAAACTCAACCTACAACAGTGACTTTGGGCAAATTACTTAGCTTCTCTGAGTATCAATTTCCTCAGCAGTAAAGGGTAAGATTACCACAACTGTTGTCAATGTTAAAGGCGAAAGACTATATATAACCACTCACTACAGTATCTAGCATAGGGTTATTGTGTGTTGTGAAGTAGATTCTAACTCACACAGACCCTAAAAGACAGACTAGAACTGCCCTATAAGTTTTCCTTGGCTTTAAATCTTCATGGAAGCAAATTGCCAGGTCTTTTCTCCAGAGGAGACGCTGGGTGAGTTTGAACCACTCACCTCCGATTAACAGCCGGGTGCTTAACCATTATGCCAAGGGAATTCCTTTCCGTCTTCAACCTCTTATAGGTAAAATTGAGCCCCCCTCCCCTAGTTTTGTGGTGCTTTTTTCAAATTATATAATCATAGTCAATAAACATATAGAATTTTGTTTACAGAAATCTTCAGTCATGAAGCTCTTTTCCTCACATTTCAATTTTTACTGACTAAAAAACAAGCTGAAGAGACTATTAATTTGACGTTATTAAACACTCATAAATCACAACTCATAAGATTTAGCAATTATAAAGTATTTTTGAGGTATAATGTTTAAAGTATGTATCTATAAAAAACTGCAGTAAATTAAATCCAGTGCTGTTATGGTATAGGATATTCTGTGAAATCAATTACGCTAATCAATGAAGAGATGGTCTACAGAGGTCAACAACATTGAAAAAATTAGAATAGAGTGTACCTCCCAATAAAACTATTTTCAATATGCTTATCTCCCATTAAAATACTATGAGGGCAAGGACTATGTCTGGTTTTGCTTTCTACTCAGTGTCCTATGTTATCTAGTACACTGTAGATTCTCAATCAATATTAGTTGAACAAATGTGTAAATAAATGTGATTAAAATATAATGAAACCCTTTTAAAATATTGGTTCTGACAGCTTTATTAATATCCATATAAACAGCCTTAGCATGAGGCTTTTACTATTTGTAGCATTACATGTACAGGCCCCTAACCCGCCCTCGTGGTGCAGTGGTTAAGAGCTCAGCTGCTAACCAAAAAGGTTGGCAGTTCAAATCCACTACCCGCTTGTTGAAAACCCTGTTGGGCAGTTCTACTCTGTCCTACAGGGTCACTATGAGTCACAACTGACTCAAAGGCAACGGGTTTGGTTTTTTGTTTTTTTTTTGTTTGGAACCTATTAATTCAATGTTTTGTTGTTGTTGTGTTTTTAAGTCTGCTATAATGTCAGGCTTTTTAAGGCACTTCACCAGATCTACCGTTCTTAAAGGCAACAATTGTTTTAGAAGTAAGGTACTATGTGAAATACTGTAATGAAGACTTTATACCTCTTATCTTTAAAAAGATAAGGCAATTTATGAATTACATGAAGATAATTTTCTAGCAAAATGAACAGCAGACATTGATTTTAACATTCCACACAAATTCTGAGGGGAAATGAAATGCTGATTTACATGTTAGCTGAGGGAAAGTAAAAATCTGCGCATACATTTATACATATCTGACAACGTATATATTCATAACTGCTTAAGAATATCTCCTTTAGACTCAAAGAGAATTTCCATCTATAGCCCTTGTACACTGAACTTGTGAATGTTTCTGGCAATGCTGAGCAGGAATCTCAAGGATAACAAATTATTCTCGAACCTCAGTAAGCCAAAAAGTTGTACTTCACCACATCTACAAAAGGGATATTAACCAGTAATACAAGTTGGCTGCTAAGCAAAAAGGTCGAACAGATAGCCAGAGAAAACACCTGTATTAACCTGGGTAATTCAGGAACAAAAACACACAAAATTTGATTCTGTTGCATACATACAATGTATATAGAGTTTGATTATTGCTTTTAGTTGAAATATTTAGAATAAACATTGATTAAAAAGCACAGAAGAATATGTCTAGAAAGGATCGAGCAGAGGTTAAAATAAAGTCGATGGTACTTGTGATCATAACTTTTATAAAAGATCAGTGACAACTCCTAAGGTAATAACCCATAAGATTTCTTTTTCTTAGAAAATGCGATAATATCAATAGTGTACCATGTACTTACTCAGCGATGAAAAAGAATTTAATTTATTCTAGTGCCCCAGAGTAAGAAGACATTCTCTTGTCTGCTTTCTCTGTCTTTAGATTATATGTCTTTCTTCCTTCCCTCAAGCACATCCATAATAATGAACTGAACTTCAAAAGCTCTGGAGAAAATGAATTAACCACTCACTTTAAGGGCTCAGGAGATAGTTTTGTGCCTGAAAGGTTGATTCCTATCAGAGCCAGAGAACTACTGAAAAACAGTTTGAAAGACGGGGGTACTTCTTTTCCTTTCCTGAAAAACAAAACACAAGAGTTCACACCGGTAGTTACACTTCCATCCCAGCAGCCCACACTTTCAAATTGTCAAGCAGCTCAAAACATGAAATTATTCATTGGTTACTTATACATTCTTAAATAATCCACAAACCAGTGGAAATTTCAAGTAAAAAGAAACAAAATGTCTAAAACCTAAATAAATAAAACTAATACAATTAAAGGAATGACATGAGAGGCTAACACATCTCGTTAAGGCCTGAAAACAAATTACTCCTATTCTTTGTAGTCAATCAACTCATTGTCTTTTTACCCCTAGATCTTCAGGAAACCCCGTGTCTGGATTTTTAGGAAGTAGGGAGTGAACGAGGATATGTATTTCTCATCAATTTAAAGAGTTTTCTCACTGGGTGGCATCGAATATTAAGGATCACTACCTGCCTTTGGCAATAGTTTTTAGATACAGCAGGATTCAAATGCAACAAGATTGTGATCTGACATCGACCTGATGAAAGAAAGAAAGTCTGAGTGGCATGAAGCCTGTATGACAAACAGCCTGTTCAGCTATGACATACATCCTGCAAATCTAATCAGTTCAAGCCGAAGATTAAAATAAGGACAAAATTCCAACAGGAAATGTGCAACACCTCCAAACATGTCCCTTTGCAATTTCAGTGGAAACTAAGTGGATCAAATCAAACAGCTCAACAATAATGTAGAGTCAACACCATACTATGAGTGTTTAAGAAAACCAAGATTCAAAAACCGAAGTTGGAATTTAAATGATTTGCTTGTTCTGTTCCATCTGATAGAACAATGGTAAAGCACTTACCCTGGTGCATAGTAAGTACTCATTTAATCATAGTTATTTATATTCTGTGGAGAGATTCATAGACTCTCAGGGCAGAGGGCATCCTAGTGGTCTTGCTCAATCACACAATATTCAATAATATTTAGTTTACAGAGATCCAGAAAAATCTATCAATACTTGAAAAAGGTTTTAAAACAGGATAATTTCAGACTGGGAAGAAAGATCTATGCAATCAGAATATCTATCTGAGAAGATAAAAAAAATTAACCTAATTCTGGTAAAGTATGGTATTAGACATTTCAAACAACTCTAGTTCCACGTAGTGTAACAATACAGCCTTGTATAGTCCCATTCATTTTTTGATGAACAAATGTTGATATTGTTGAATATAGCACTCTTGCTACTTGGTCTTGCTATGGACTGTATCAGTGTTCCCAAAAATTCACTGTCCCTTTCTGAGGGAGGATTATGCTTCTTTACTCCACTGAAGGCAGGCTTGGCCACAGAAATTCCTTTGGCCAATGGGATAGGAGCAGATGTAATGTGTGTGACTTTCAGGTAGAAGCTGTAAGAGCCAGTATGTGTACCGCCATGATCTCTTTTTCCTCTGTTACTAGTCTGTCAATGTCCCAAACAGAAGCTGCTCTGCACCCCGGAGGGAAGATGATATCCACAGTGCCACAGTCAGCCCACAATGGACATGTCACAAAACCACTGCTACTAAAAGCCCTCCTAGACTTTACACTCTTATTCTGTGGAGGAATTTGTGGCATATTTTTCCTACTGTGAAGATTTACACCACTGCTGAAGTACTGCATCAATTACCAGTTGCCATCGAGTCGATTCTGACTCATAACTTGACCCATTAGGACAAAGCAGAACGGCCCCAAAGGGTTTTCAAGGCTGTAAATCTTTATGGAAACAGACGGTCACATCTTTCTCCTGTGAAGCAGCTGGTAGGTTTGGACTGCCAGCCTTTCAGTTAGCAGCAAAGTGTTTAACCACTGTGCCACCAGGGCTCCTTTTATTGCACGAATAGTACTTCAGAATATAGAATAATTCATTTGCAAGGCACCATTGTGAAATAAAGCATGCCATATAGCTGAATTTTTAAAGTGAGGGTTATCCTTTCGAAAATATAAAGCTTTGAAAAAGTTAACCAATAAAAATAAAGATTATTTCTAATATTAAGTAATTCCTCATGTTATTAAACAGTATATAATGACTAAAATATTGTTTATGGCTTCTGGTAATAATTAAGAATGCTAAGTGTTGTACTGTATTAATACATTAGATGATCCCAGAATACCGTATCTGAATAACCTATATACTTTTCATAATTCTTCTGTATTCTCCCTCCATTCTAAGTTGCTGCTGTTTGTAAATCCTTGCTGCTTCTAATCTGCTGCCTTATTTTGCAAATAATTTTATGTCAGGAGGGTAGTAGTCAGGGACTGGTCCTACACTTCTACAAATTAAAATGCATGAGCTTTGGGATGACTATTCTTCTTACTCCCCAGAAGTAATTTATACTTACTTCCAAGTTCATAATTGAGAAATACATGTTTAAGTTTCTAAAAGGGTTTTTACTATATTGAGAGAGAGTGCCTGTCCACATATGGGAAATAGTGCATCATCATATAGTTCACATAGGTCGGCTGGAGTTATTGATAAGAACGTTAACCATGGTGGATAAAGATAATAAAAGCTTGAACTTTCAAGGCCTAATATTCATAGATAGTGGTTTAAGGCAATCTGCTTTTATGGACAACATGCACCCTTTATCAATCTATTTTCATTATGACAATAACTTTCTCTAACAGACATTCCTAGATGGCAATGATACAAACCAAAACCCGTTGCCGTCAAGTCGATTCTGACTTATAGCAACCCTACAGGACAGGATAGAACTGCCCACACAGGGTTTCCAAGAGTAGCTGGTGGATTCAAACTGCCGCCCTTTTGGTTAGCAGCTGAACGCTTAACCACTGTACCATCGATGGCAATGATAGCAGGGGTAAGTCCATACCGGTGAGAAAAGACAGTTCTGGAGAGATTGAGCACAGCTAAATGTTGAAGGCATCCACGAAGAAGAGCTCCACAGACCTGAGGAAGAAACAAGGCACTCTTATTTTCAAAGACTTCTAGGTCCAGGAGTCTGTTTCATTAGAGAGAAAGCCCCTTGTAGTCCATCTAAACAGCTGTTCTGAGACCCCCAGCACAATATAAAAAAACATTACCATGTCCAGGGAACACTCTGTATTGGATAAATCCAGATGAGCAATGGCATTTGGCTGGGCCAAAAAATGGTACATGTACTTGAAATAAAAAAAAAAAAAAATTAGGGATCTAGAAACATATGCACATGCACACCCCTCCCCCAATAAATTTAAAAATAAGTTATCCAAATCCCTCAGGATCATTCTTTTCTCTTGCCAAGAAGATCAGCAGAATTTTCCGTCATTCCACTACCTTTCCCGAGAGAAAACATCCAAAAAATATTTAAAATAAAATTATGTTTCAGTAAAAAAAGGTCAAATGGAATCTTGGCTACCAAACTCCCCTTTTGCTATGCATGACTTCGTTTTCCTGATTAGCTCAGCTTTCATTATATAATTTGGAACAGTGATAATTTTAACTCCTGAGATAGAAATACCACCTGAATTGCAGTCACCCTATCAAAATGCTACTCATTTTTGAAAAGTGTTGGAGAAACCACTAATTTGAATTTGAACCATAGGATGGTCTCAGGCCATACTCTCCTCTATCCAACATAATGATTTTTCTAGCCTTAGTGACTTCCAAAATCTAACAAGACAAGCCCAATAGTACTATTAGTACAAAACAAAACAACAATAAAAAAAGCCTCACATACAGCTATGACACTTCAGGTTTCAGGGGATTACAAAATCTAAACTCTCCCCTCATCAAGGAAGGCTATCAAAACAATAAAATTGATAATTCTCTATTGTTCTCTAATTGCTTCCTGTGAGTAGCAACTGCCAGAGCCACGGATAACAAACTGAGCCTAAGCTCCCTGCCACTGGGCAAATAGCTAAGTCCTCCTCTACTTCACTGGATGCCATCAGATAATTGTAAAAAACAAACAAGCTTACACTGAGGGTGTCCCAGTCCTTGGCAAATACTCATTAACTATAACTTGACTATATGGTGCTTCAGAAAAATCCTCTCTATCAAGGAATTCAGAAGAGCAAAGATTATTCTGTAAACAACTTAGAACAACCAGATACACAGAATGGAGTACATTATGAAAAGTCCTGATCAGAAAAACTATTTTGTTCTCACACGAAGAGGGCTTGGACTCTCAATTTCCTCAGCACTAATGGCCTCGAAAGGAGACCTGGTGGTGCAGTGGTTAAGCACTGAGCTGATAACTGAAAGGTTGGTGGTTTGAACCCACCACCCACTCCAAGGGAGAAAGATGTGCCAGTCTGCTTCCGTAAAGATTACAGCCTTGGAAACTCTATAGGGCAGTTCTACTCTGTCATATAGGGTCGCTATGAGTTGGAATCAATTTTGATGGCAATGAGTTTTAGTGGTCTCGCGAGACACCTACCATATTATTACTCAAATAACGCGCACCTTCTATGTTTGTTTGAAAACCACTCTCTCCCCCATGAGGTATTTTCAGAAGCACAGCTATGTCAATTTTTTTACATGTTGCTGTAAGAAAAAAAAATTAGCATAGTGTGCTTAGAAAAATATCTGGTTGCAGGGGGAGTCGTTAGCAAACAAACATAGAAGGCACACATTATTTGTGTAAAAATGCAGTCAGCTTGATGTGGTTTTACTGTCAGCCACCACTTGGAGGAGCTCTAATCACCCTGAAGTTGGTCAACACTTCCGCAGAGAAGCAGGCCCTGCTAGGCTGCTTTCCCTGGAGGCACAGGGCAGTTCCAAGTCCCTGCACCTGCTGCAAGCTCCCAGAACCTCAGCCTGTATGGAGCTGGAAGTACACTCTCACCCACACCTCATCATTCCACTCCATACTCCTCGGAGGCCAGCTGGGACAAGATCCACCCCTAGCCAGGGAAAGAAGTCCTGGGTCATTTGGTGTCTTATGTGACTGTTAATGCTGCTACCTTAGCTGAGTTTTATTATTTAATCTTCAGTGGCTTCTTTTATCTTTCCCTCTGATTTCTCTAGTTTGTCAGTGTAATGTTTTAGCCATTTCACATCATACCCCTTGTTTTCCGTTAGGAGCAAGATTTATGAATCATCAGTGAAGGTGACAATTGGAATCACAAAGTACACAGAATAAGTCACAGGACACTAGGAAACAAGTATCGTTTAAAGGATTTCAAGTGCCAGGGGCAGGGGAAAGAAACAAAACTACAAAAACGACTGTGGCGACATTCCCTGCCTTACAGGGAAAGCGAAACAGAACAAAAACAAAAATAAATTCCAAAGTGTTTTTTACTCCCTGTAAAAAAATCAAATGAAAATTAAGGTCCTTCAAAGATGTTCCCTTTCTGTAGGCCCTATTGTTAAGGGACTTTCTTCTAAATTTTAGCATGGTGACCAGAGGGGACCACTCACCACATATGGCAGTGACATCATACCCAGTCTACTGTATTGATAAGAGCTGACAAACATTTCCGTTACTGATTCAGTTGCATGGAAAATCTTGCTATAATTGAGGGGGAACTTTTTGCCTGTGTACTTTACTCCTAAGCCTCCCCTATCCCTGTGCCTCAACTATGTTCATGGAATATACCAGGACTGGGTGTAAACCCTATGGAGCACAGTTCTACTCTTACACACATGGGGTTGCCGTAAGTCAGAATCTACTTGACAGTAATTGGTTTGGTTTGATTTGAGGTTTATCCCAACATCCCCTTTCACTCACGAACTACAAAAAACTACCAGTCTTCTCAGCAATATCGAAAAATGATGAAACAGTTCATTTTACACTACCGATCTTTCTTATCAGCCTATTTTTAAAAGTACAGTAATATTTTCAAATGAAAAAACAATCCCTCAGAAAAGTATTTTCAAAAAGAACTAGAACTTAAACGAGAAAAAAAAATTAGTGACTATAGTGATACACTACATTTAATTAAAGAAGACTAGAATTTTTCTTTAAAACAGGCTTGGAACTAAATTATTTTAAGATATCACAATAAAGGGAAACACGGAAATAAATTAGAATGCTGTGTCTAGAAATTAGTTCAGGCTTATTAAAGACTGTTTATTTGAAGACAGAAGTAAGAAAAGGAAAACCTACCGAGAGGTCATCTCCGCGAAGGACATTCCCTGAGAGGTCTAGGTGGATAAGGGTGGTGGCTGTCAATGGGTTGGCACTGAGTGACTGAGAAAGGCTATTCACCCCTGCAACATCGAGAAGATCCAGGCTCAATCTCCACTCCAGGAAACAAGAACAGTTTTTAGAGTTTCTAAAAATGGCCCAGTAATCCCATTAAATTGCAGGACTGAGGTTAATGATAAGCACTGACTCAAAAAAGGTAGCTCTACAATCGCGTCTTCTTTTGCCATGCCCTTGGGAAAAACAGGTTAGTCACAGATACAACCATCTTACTGAGTAGGAGAGAAGAATGACATCCGCTTCATTTTGTTCCACCTATTCTGTGTTCAAGAATTTTACTTTGGCAATAAAGTATGTTTTCTTTGAAATCCTAGAATGACGCAAGCAGTCTATTTGACAATTTGAATCCTCTTAAATCCTGCCAGGTGATTCTTGACTTGGTGTACAGTGTTTAAATGATGCATGCCCAAATTCAGATGCTTCAGGCTATTTAAAGTACTGGGAAGTTAATATAGAAATATATTGCGCGACTTAATGTATTACACCAGGACAAAATTAGGGTTGAAATGGATTTTACAAAGAGTGAGGACACAATCTATACAGATGTGAGAAGTAATTGAAAGGAAAAGCTTATATTTTAACTAAGAAACTCTAGTGCCACTATTTTAAGAGCTCAGGCTGCTAACCAAAAATTCAGCAGCTCGAATCCACTTGGAAACCCTATGGGGCCATTCTACTCTGTCCTATAGGGCCACTATTAGTTGAAATCAACTTGACAGCAATGGTTGGTTGGTTGGTAGACATTGTTTATATACCTAACATAAATGGCTCAGGTTTGATTCAACTGAACTAAGCTGACAAATATTCCCTCAGAGAATGAAGAATGAATGTGTGAGGAAGGCAAGATTGTCTGTGAGGGGGCAGCTGTGTTCTGGTCTATGTGGGGAACAGTAATTGGCCTAGGTAACTGCTACATCAGAGCCTTGTAGTGGGTGGATTTTTATCAGGCCACTACTTTTTACAAGGGGATAGAGGCTACATGAGGAGCCCTGGTAACGCAGTGGTTACGTGCTCAGCTGCTAACCAAAACGTCGGCGTTTCGAACCCACCAGCAGCTCTGCAGGAGAAAGATGTGACAATCTGTTTCTGTAAAGATTTGCAGCCTTGGAAACCCTATGGGGCAGTTTTATTCTGTCCTAGAGGGCCACGAAGAGTCAGAATTGACTCAATGGCAGCGAGTTTGGTTTGGTTTTGGTAAAGGTTATATGGCTATCACTCATCTGTCAGTTTGTTGTACTGTGGTGGCTTGCCCATTGCTGTGATGCCAGAAGCTATGCCACCAGTAGGACTCACCCATGGTGGACAGGTTTTGGCCGAGCTTCCAGACTAAGACAGACTAGGAAGAAAAGTCGGGTGATCTACTTCTGAAAAATCAGCTATTGAAAACCCTACATAGCACACTTCTACTCTGACACACATGGGGTCACATTGATTTGAATCTACTTGACAGCAACTGGTTTTTGTTTCTTGTTTTTTATATGTCAACATAAAAAGGAGGCCCGGGAGAGCATGGTCACTCACTGGGGTCCAGAGGGGCCAATATACTCTGAATATCACTGATTATTATCCTTAGGATAACAGAGCTATGGCATAGCAAAGCTCATTAATGTTTCAAATGAAATATTCTGGAACTATGGTGATTCCTAAACTGGATACACTTTTTAAAAATTATTTTGCTTTTCTTGGTTTTCAGTAAAATTGTTTTTGAAAATCCCAGCCATCTTAGCCACTTTAAAAAAACAGGAAAGAGGGTTTTAATCCACACTTGGACAGAGCATTCACAGGGACAAGGGGCCAGGGGCTGGGTCTGCAGTGAGAGCCAGGTCTGGCAGTGGCAGCAAAATCAATACGGGCACTCACTCCAAGGAAAGAGCTGAGGGCTACATGTGCACCCCCTCCACCCCGTCCTCCTGAAGAGCCTCTCACTGAAGTACTACTCCGCTCCAACTTTAGAATGTTTTCTGTGTTATCCTGACAAAGGGGGTAATTGTCTTAATCCTCCAGCTTTGGAGAGTTATAAAGACCCAACTCCAGTGTGTGTCTGATAAAGGCTACTGAGCCATTTCCCAAGGGTAAATGTGCATTTGGGTGTCTAGACAGAGGAAACAGAGGCTTAAAGTAGAGTCAAATATATTTTAATTAAGCATCAAGGAAGAACTTCTTACTATCAATTCAACATTTATTAAGTCTTGATAAAATGCTGGGGATGGGACACATACACAAATAAGACCCATCTTTGGCCTCAAAAAGTTCAAAGACCATAAGGGAAAAAACTAATTAGACTCTAGGATAATAACTGAGTGCTACACTAGGGTTGCTATGAGTCAAAATTGACTCCACGGCAACGGGTCTGGTTTTTCTTTTTTCTTAACATTAGAAATATTTATGCATTGCAACATAGCTTTGTTGAAAGCCTATTGTTTTCCAAGATCCAGTGGATACTATCTGTGATGGTTTGAATTGTACTCCCCAAAAATACGTGTTGAAGTCCTAACCCCAAACCTATTAAATATGACCCTGTTTGGAAATAACAGGTTGTCTTCTGTTATATTAATGAGGTCATGCTACAGTAAGGTGGATACTAACCCCAATCACTTCTGAGTTATAGAAGGAGCAAAAGAGACACACAGACATACAGAGGGAAACAGATGCCAAGGAACCCCCAGGAACTACCCGGGCTACCAGAAGGAAGGTCTTCCCCCTAGAGTCACGCCTTGAATTCAGACTTTCAGTCTTCAGAACTGTGAAAAATAAATTTCTGTCTTTAAAGCCGCCCCCTTGTGGTATTTCTGTTATGGCAGCACTAGAAATAAGATACTATCTCGGGGGGGCCAAGATGGCGGAGTAGTGAGACGCTTCCTGTGGTCCCTCTTACAACAAAGACCCAAAAAAACAAGTGAAACGATTATATATGACAATCTTAGGAGCCCTGAACATCAAAGGTAAAGTTGAGGAACTGGACTGAGTCACAGGGGGAAGGAGAGACGGTTCGGAAACAGCGAGAAGTTGCCAGACGTGAAATGGCAGGAGCCAGAGCCCTTCAGGCCAGATTAGCTGGTGTGTGCAGTGAGGCAAGCAGTGGCACTCGGGAGCTGTTTTCCACATTGGGAGAGACCCAGCGGCAGACAGTCTACTCAGCCATCTAGAACCAGTGAAAAGCAGCCCTCAATTGGCAAAAGATAAGTATTTGCATCTTGCCTAGTGCGCAGATCAAAAACACTCCACCGTGGGAAAAACCACTATTCTATTTACCTCCTCGCTCCCTGCTGTGCATCGAGTCTGGGATGGCTTCAGCAAATGGCAAGTCCACCGGGCCAGAAGTACGACCCGTACCGCACCCTAAGCTATTATCCCAGCCTTGGAGAGGGAACAAATTAGCAAACAGGAAAAAATAATCTGTCGTCTCCCCTAAGCCAGAAACTCAGGGTAGGCACAGCTCCTTTCCCTAGGTACAAACATAAGGGCTTCACGGACACTGAGTGTCTTTCACCCCTGCACAGACTTGCGTAGACCCATTTCAACAGCGTAGGCCTTCATTACCACAGTACAATAGGGTATATACCCGAAGTCTAACTTCAACTGTTTCAACTGTGAAGTGGCAAGTTCGTGGTATCTGACACTGCTTTGCCCATTAAGCAGCATCCTCACCTATTCACAAAAGGGGCCTGAGGACTAGTGGCTCCACACATGCCATCTAGCCACCTGAGACAGGGATCCAAGAATACCTGGTGCCCCCCAGTCCTTACAGCCAAGAGCATTGGGAGATCACAATCTGGCTGCAAAAGCCACCCACCTACCCACTTTAGGGAGCAGAGAGACGCTTTCCTCATAGACACTGAGGGGCAGCCGTCAGCCCCCTGAATTCATCAGTACATGACCCCTACTACAGCCAGATACCTCTGCCTACACCAATCACCCATGACATTCTAGGACTGTAGGTGAGAGGCTGCACCACACACTTTATGACTGAGTACCTGGACACCTAAGCTGAATCCATACAAGAAAAGCTAATGGAATCCTGTCCTCACATACTTAGTAACAGATCTAACCAACTGGTGGCAGGACAATAGAGCTTCAAAGGTGCCAATAATAAAAATAGCTCACACAAGCAGCCTACTTGGTCATATCAAAACAAAACAAGAAGCTAGGAAAAAGTAAGCAAATATAAAATAAATAAATATAATGACTTATTGACGGCTCAGAGACAACCGACAATATCAAACCACATAAAGAGGCAGACCATGATGAATTCAGAAAGCTCCCAAAATAGAGAATCAAGAAATTGTCTGGGCGACTTCAGGCAAAACGGCGCTCTAAGCAGAAGCATCATGCCGTCCCTCCACAGTAAAGATCCGAAAAACTAAGCCGAACAGAGACTACAACAACCCTGAGACCCTAAAACATCATATGAAGATACAAAGAACTCAGCCAAGTACCAAATGGAGTGAGAAAACTGACAGAGAACGGAGAGTGAGGAGAGATTCATGCAGAGGTCCCCTACCAGCTAACGCAGTGCGGATCCGCCATCATAGACTCCTATCAGAGACCAGCAAACAGGGGGTACGAGAAAGCAGCTGCACGGAGCTTCCAGCGGGAGACAAGACAACCGGTAATTTGAGATATGTGCTTTCCCACCACCAACCTTCTTCATCCCCACTCAGCCTCGTCTGCTTACCGCGGCCACAATCTCTTGTACAGGAAACACCGGCTGCTTGGATTCCACACATCCAAACGGGCCAGCTCTCTGAGTGCCATTTGTTGGCTGCTGGTATTGGTTTTCTCCGCTTCTTTTGATTTCTTCCTTACCTCTCACCACCTCCCCCTCCTTTCGCTCAAATACCTGGCTCCATGTACCACCTTTGCTTCTTCCTGAGGGGCTGCAGAGCTCCGGTAATTTGTGCTTTACGCTTTCCCACTATCTACTCTTCTTCACCCACACTCGGCCACCTCTGCTTCCTGCAAACAGTCTCTTGTCCGAGAAACACCAGATGATTGGATTCCACCA